GAAGGGGCCCCCGATTGACCCCCCCTCGCCTTGAATCAGACAGCGCGCGCGCAGCTGATGGCGATGATCGCCGACCTCGAACCTGGCTGGCCCTGGGCCAAGCGCCCCCCGCTGCAAGGGCCGGCATCGCCACTGCCCCAGGCGCGCCCGCCGGGTCTTCCGCCAGCGCTTAGGCAAGGAGCGGCAGCGCGCGCTGCCAACGCCGCCGCCAGCGCCCCTCCCCCCCTGCGCAACGCTGAGCAGCTGCCCACCACGACCGTGCCTGACTAGAAACCGCCATGGAAGTCATGGATCGTCGCTCCTACCGCCGCTCCCATTGCCACTGCGACGGGCCTCCTGGTCGCCGCCGATACTGCGGCGACGACGCAACCGCCGCTTGCGAAAGAAGCGCCCACTCGCAAAAGGCTACAGCGCCCTGCCCCCGCGCCCCGCATCTCAACGTTGGCCAACGAATGCGCCAAAATGCAACGCGACGCGTTGCGAAATGAACGCCCGCTTCTGCGCGGGGGTACGGCTTCCTCGTCAACCTTGTTATGCGGGAAGGGAGCGAGCTTTGCCGTCTTGGCACCGATGCGTGAGATGGGCGATGATTTCGAAAACGACGGTGCCTCTCGTCTGCGTCTTATAGTTACACAGTGCGGGCGCCCGGCATAGCGATTGTCTCCTAACCATCATCAGTCCTCGTACTCGTCGTGCTCGACCGTGCATTCTACGCCGTCAGGATGCCACGCGACGCACACATGATCCTGGTTCTCTCGCCCAATAACTCCGCTCGGCTCTTCTACCTTGTCGAACTCGCCCAACTTATCTACGTGTCCTATTCGACGTCGTAAAGCCTTCGCGACCCTCTCACCCGGCTGGACTGGCTGACTGTTCTAACTCTGATTGCGCCGCGACGCCCCCGAACTGTTCCAACGCTTCGGGCTCTTCGGACTCATCTAACTCCTCTACTTGTTTCGGCTCGCCCACATTTTGCGGGCGACGCTGCCGCGCAGGGCCCTTTTTTCCGGCGCCGCTTAATCGCAGCGGCGACGGTGGCGGAGACATCCCCAGCGCTGCAGGGAGCGGCCGCGACGCGTCGCCGCTGCGCGGCCAGCGCCACGACGACGAATAGGAAAGAGCAAGGGCCGCGGGGGGATGGGCGTCGACAGACGGGCGCCCCGCGCGTGCGCAATCCGATTTGACTTTGCCAGCAGCGCCCGCACGCGCACCCTCGCGGGCGCGCAAAAGCTCGCCTGCGACCCCTCCGCGACCCGCGCACAGGCCACGCGGCCCAACTAAAGCACCACTGGGCCCCGACTAGAGCACAACCAAGAGCTCACCCAAGAGCACAACTCAAAAAAAAAAAAAAAAAAAAAAAAAAAAAAAAAAAAAAAAAAATCGCACCCGGTCTTTCCATAGAGGACAATAACTCCACGTTTCCGAACGCGGATGCGTGCCTGACAACCGTGAAATGAGTTGTGCTCCAGGTTGTGTGCGTGTGTGCTCTAGATTGTGCTCTCATTGCGCTCTAGGGGGGGGGCCCAATATTGGCGGTCGCTCGCCCTCCGCCCCCCCCCCCTCAATGCGAAGGCGGGGGCGCGGTTCCGTGGCGCGTGGAGCGACTGGAGCGCGAACGTCAACGACAACAGAAGGCACCAGGCGCGCAGCGCCGTCAAGTGGGCGCCAGGGCACTACGCGCAAAGCTTGCAGTCTTTCAAAGTATCGCACGGCAGCGACCACAGATGCCTCGCATAAGGCGCCAAGGCAACAGCGGCGAACTCGCAAATTTCAAACGCACCATCGCGCGCCGCCCATGGAGCACCGCCAAGTGGGCACCAGGGCACGCATGGGCACATGGCGGCACGGGCACCAGCCATCGACCGTGAAGCACCTGCCGGTGGGCACTTGTGCAAAAACGATGAAATCGCAAACGTCTGAAGCATCGAGCCATAGCCCCCCGCACGCGCGCGCGCGCGCACGCACGCGAACGCGCGCGTGCACGCGCGCGCGCAGACGCGCACGAGCACGCGCGCGCACGCGCACATACACACACCACACACACACGCACACCCACGCGCCCCCACCCACCCCACCCCACACACCACCACCATCATACCATCATCCCCCGACCTGCACACATCCGCACATAACCCACGCACGCGCGCGCGCCGCCTCCGACCCAGCCCACCCCGCCCCGCCCAACTGGCAGAGGCATCCAACCTCTAGAGGCATCGCTGGGCGCCGCCCATAGAGCACCGCACCGTGGGCACGGAGGCATGAAAGAGCGCGCCGCGGCCTTCGAGAACCAAGAGAAGGGACCGACGTGGACATCCACTCATGGGGCACCAGGGCAACAATGAAAGAACCCGCACCTTCAGGGGCGCCTCCGAGCGGCGCCACGCACGCGGGACACACCTAGATCGGAAAAGCACATGCGCCCGCCGTTTGCGAACGAAGCGCCCACTCGTAAAAGGCCAGCGCGCCCCGCCCCCGCATTCGTTCGAACCGCCCACCCAATTGGGGCCGAAGCCTGGGCTGGCATCCATGACTTCTTGCGGGCGAAGTGCATCGCGCGCGCCCCGAGTTGCGCGGCGTGCCGGAGCCGCTGGGCGATGGGGCGCGCCAGGTGTCACGCGCGCGACGCGTAAACCACCGGCGACGACAGCCTCGGCGCAGCGCGCGGCTGCAGCAACGGCCCCAAGACCCAAGATCATCGCTGAGATGCGAGGCTCGGGCACCGCGCGCACTGTCAAGAATAACGCGCGCATGAGAAACTTCAAGAATGCCGCCTTTCACCCAGCGCAAGTATTACCGGCAAGGGCGGCGCCCCAGCTCTGGCCAGAGCTGAGACCAAGGCTTCATAGCATCCTCCCTGGTGACCAAATACGGCCCGTCACGCATGCCAATCCCATCGATCTGTCGCCAGTCGCATCCTTGGGTTGAAGATGTCCTTCCACCAGCAAGACGCGCCATGGCCCCGCCATGGAGTGCCCCACAAGGTTCAGCAGCGAAGCCATCTCCTCGCGCCCATCTGCGGGAAGACGTTGGACGCCCAGCGCCGTGAGTCTGTCAACCCCGATCCCCGCCCGGGGCTCCATTCGACCCAGAGCTGTGTCCACCATAATGGGCGGGAGTGCGTCAGTGTCCGCAACCGATCGCATCTGCCCGGAAAGACCCACTGCGCCTGCGAGGTCCGCGGCCTGGGGCGTCCACAGCAGATGGAATTCGTAATGCTTCGTGGTCGACGACGACGGCTGCGTGAAAAAAGGCCTTCGCCCCAAATCTTCACCACCTCATCCACAGGCCACAGTGCATCACGCAGACAACTACACGACGCACTTGTAGCCTCCACCGCGGTGGCCAAAACACGACACTCAAACGATTCTGTCACGAACCTGAAAGATACGAGCTGTGGCTCCTGGGTGTTGGCTGAGGCACCACTCCGCGCGCCCCAGGATGGGCCCTCAGGCCGGAGGACGCTTGATAATCGAATTGCAGCGTCGGTGATAACTCTCCAGCGCGCGTGAACCAGCAACTCCTGCTGTATGGCGCCGTTGTTTCTGCGCTGATGGCCTGCTCATTACTGGCTCAACGCGCGCGCCAGCGCCCGCCGGCTGGCGATCCAGCCTCTGGCTGCCACTGCACCACGCCTGTTGGGGTGATCTACCTCGCGAACCTGCGCGATCGGCCCGTGCGCCCTACACTGTGAAGCCGCCCTCGGCGGATCCGACCTGTCTGGCTCACGATGGCGCCCCAGAGCGGCGCGCTCCGCGGCAGCGGCTCACGAGGCGCAGGCCGAGATTTTAAGTCCAGTAGCTTGGGCCCGTCAAAGGGTCAATCGATGTTGCAATCAACAGCCAAATATCTTCATGGCATTGCGTTGACATCCCGGCACGGGCCCTTTGAGGGGCCCACGTGGCCTGGGGCATATGAAACATTCGCGTCTTCCCATTCGGACGAAGTCCGCTTCACCGCTTGATCCGCAGGAGCCGTCTTGATCACCCCGGCTGGCTGAAAGTGCGCCTTCTCGGCGTCACTCAGCACCAGATAGAACTGGCTCGGCTGGAATGCGTTCGCAAGAAACGACAACAGACTCTGAACAACCCCTGCGTGGGCCTGCAGGCGATTCTCTTCGATCTGCTGATTGCCTTTCAACGGGCTTCCTCCCTCAGACCTACCGACATCACGAGTATTGGGCTTCTGCTTGTGAACGCCACATGCTTGCTACATTTCGCACGCTTGCACTGAAGATGACGACGCCTGTCTTTCCAGTCCCACGTTCCGCACGTGCACTTGGACCAAATGCCTGACTCTGAGCCTGCTGCGGACTGAACCATCTGGCCTGTCCGCTCACTGCGGGCAAAGAAAGCTCAAGCCCAAGTTGCTTAAGGTAGGGGGAGAAGGAGGAGGAGGAGGAATGGAGGAGGAGGAGGAGGAGGAGGAGGAGGAGGGAGGAGGAGGAGGAGGGAGGGGGAGGACGCCTAGGAGGACGACAAGTAGGATGGAGAGCAGGAGAGGGCCACAGTGGAGAGGGCGAGAGGGAGGGAGGGAACACAAGGGGAAGGGGAAGGGAGGAGGAGGGGGGCGGAGGAGGAGGAGGAGGAGGACGAGGAGGAGAACGGAAGAGGAGGAGGAGGAGGAGAGGAGGAGAGAGGAGAAAGAAGACAAGGGAGGGGGGGGCGGAGGAGGAGGCGAAAGAGAAGGAGGACGGAAGAGGAGGAGGATGCGGAGGCGGAGGAGGAGGAGGAAGAGAAAAAGAGGGCGAAGGAGGAGGGAGAGGAGAAAAGGGAGGAGGGAGAGACGTTTTTTTGCTAAAAGCAGCTGGCAGCACAAGCAAGCAGGGATTGAGAGCAAGGATAAAGGGGAGAGAGAGGGAGAAGGGGAGGAGGAGGAGGAGGAGGAGGCGGAGGAGGCGGAGGGTGAGGAGGCGGAGGAGGCGGAGGAGGGGGAGGAGGAGGAGGCGGACCGAGGAGGAGGAGGAAGATGAGGAGGAAGAAGAGGACAACACGCGCCGGAGCCTCGGCGCCCAGGAACTTCACTGCTACCTGGGTTCCGCCGCGCAGCTCGCCGCGGAAGACGGCGCCGTAGGCGCCGCTGCCCAGGCGGCCCTCGTCCGCGCGGTGGCGCGTGGCGGCCAGCAGCTCCTGTGGAGGCCTCCCACATGGGCTCCGAGCAGATGCGGTCGAAGGATCGCGCCGCATCGGCGACGTCGGCGCGGAGAACAGCTGAGAAGAAGAACAATCGCCTTAAACAGAAACTTGTGGCGCTCCGCGCGGATTTCTTTGATCCGCGCCTGACCCTGCTCCCAGGCGCGCGGAGCGCGCCAGGGGCGGCGCCGGAGGGGGTGGCGCCAGAGGCGGCGCTGGGGGGGCCCAGCGCGGATCCAAGAAATCCGCGCGGAGCGCCAAAAATTTCTGTCTATGGCGGCTCTTCTTCTTCGAGATCTGGCTCCGCATCGAACCGCAGCGCCGGGTGCATCAACGATGCTGCGCGATCCTCCGACCCAATCTGCAGCGCGACTGGGTCAGATGGGCGCGCGGCAGGGACGCAAGGGCCTTGGATGCCCAGACTGAAGGCGAGGCTGGGAGCCCGTGGCTCATGGCAAAGGGTTAGAGTGGCCAGAGAGGCAAGGATGCAAGGTCCAAGGCTACCCCTGTGGAGAGCCACGGTCGGGCCCACGACAGGGGAACATCCTTTCAAGAACACGAGACCCCGCGCTGGCTAAACAGAAAACAGGACATCCAAGGATGCCCTCACTCAGGATTCACATTTGGACGCCCGACATGGGCACGGAAAGCATGGGTACAATGCCCAACAACAAATGTTGTCCCAAACCAACACTGGCCGCTGTTGGGCAGGCGACCTTCTGTCTCGAATGGACACAGGCTGCGGCGGCGCGGACAGCGAGTCCTGTTCAAAATGAGCAAGAACTGCTGTTGGGCATGGTACCCATTCTTTCCGTGCCCATCTCGTTCGTGCAGATCACAGGAGAACGCCCAGCAACCTCTTACGCCGGCGGCGAGGCAGAACTGCTGCGCCGACGAGCGGCGATCCGGGGCGACCGGGGACGCGCATTGGCCGGCGCGCACGACGGCGAACAAACTGGGGACGAGGCGGCCGTGGAGGACGGGATCCAGACATGCGACGGCCTAGGTTTTTCAAGACGGCGTCCCCGGAGTCCAGACCCTTTCCCCGGGGCCTGTTTTGCAGCCTGCAGGATGTAAAACCGGCCCCGGGGATGCATCCTGCAGGATGCAAAACGACTCATGAGTCGTTTTCTGGACCGGTCCCGAGAGCCGGCGAGGGCCCCCCGAGAGGCCGAATCTGGCCAAAAACCTCCCGTCCTGATGTCGGAACGACGCGATCATGTCTGGGGAGGAGGAGGAGGAGGAGGAGGAGGAGGAGGGCACTCGCCCCACATCCAACGAGCACGAAGAACATCGGGGCACTCGTCCTCACAGTCCCGTTGGGCTGGGCTCGGGCGCCGCTTGGGAGGCCCGGGTCCTGCGGGTCGTACTCGGGGCAGCCCGCGGACCCCCGCCCAGTGCGGAGGGGCGGCGCGTGGGCTCCCGCGAGGGCACGCGGCATGCTCTGGGGCGAGGATTGGGTCGGGCGTGTTCTCCTACAGGCGGACTTTGGACGGCAACCAAAACATAGTCGAACACGATTTACACATAGTCAAACATGGTCAAAAAGCCGTCCCCATGTTATACATGTTCTGACTATGTTTGGATCTGCAGAGGGGCAAGCCCGACTGAAGACAATAATGATGTGATCGTGCGATGGGCTCAGGACACGTTCCAGGAGTTCTGGGGCACCCAGTTGCCCTCGTTTCAACAGCCCGCGTGGAGCAGTTGGAACTATTGGAAATCCGGGCGATCTGCGACACAATAATCCGCCAGAGTGCCGCTCGGCACGGAGTGGGCGTGTCCTCGGGTCCTGGGCCCAATCCTCTAAGCCTCAGTCCTCCCTCCTGAGGAATATTTAAAGGGCCCGGAGCCAAAACTGCCAAAGCTTCTGGGGGCTCCCGCGTGCCCCCCTGGGGCTTGCCGCGGCCTGTCGCATGACATTTTCGAGCCCAGGATGGCCCCAACACGAGCCCAGAGGGTCCCAAGAGGCCTCCAAGACGGCCTAAGATGGCCTCGGGTCGCCGAAAGATCGCGCCAAGACGCCCAAGATGGCAACCCAGAGAGCCCCAGAGGCCTCCAAGACAAGACGCCCAAAGAGGCCTCCAAGAGGCCTCCCAAGAGGACAAAATCATCAATTTCCCTTAAGTGTCTGAAGGATTTTGGCGTTCTCGCCTTTTCGGTTTCCCGACGGTCCCAGACGACCTTCCAGGCCCGCAAGATCGCCCTGAGACGGCCCAAGAGGCCTCTAGGAGGGCCCCGACACGGCCCCAAGACAGCCCAAGAGGCGCCCGAGGAGGGCCCCAAGACGGCCCCAGAAGGAGCCAAAAAGGGGCACGAACCGAAAATCCGAGCCCCAGGAGGCCCCGAGAGGTGCCCAGGAGGCCCCGAGAGGCAGGCCCGAAAGCGGCCCCACGAGGCCCCCGAACGGCCCCCATGAGGCCCCCAAACTGCCTCCTACGAGGCCCCCGAGAAGCCTCCCACGAGATCCCAACGAACATGCACGGTGGCGGGATGGGCCGAAGGCCATCAGATCTGCCGCCCCCTGTGGATTCATCACAGGGGTGCCCGGCGTGCTGAATCCTTTCGCTTTTGGTTCTAGTTCTTTTTCCGAAAGAACTCCCCCTGGGGTTTCGGCCCCGCCCGCCGGGGTCCCCGAGTGGCCCAGAAAGGGTGGTTCCAAAAGGTTTTCCTGCTCCAGATGGCTCCCAGATAGCTTCCAAGATGGCCAAGATTGCCTCCAAGTTCGCCCAAGATGGTCCAAGATGGCCTCCAAGACGGCCCAAGAGAGTCCAAGATGCCGCCAAGTCCGCCCAAGAAACCGCCAAGACGGCCCAAGAGGTGCCCAAGAGGCCTCCAAGACGGCCCAAGAGGCCTCCGAAAGGTCCTCCAGGAGGGCCCGAAACGGCTAAAACAATTGATGCTCCTTAGGTTTTTAACACATTTTTCATATTTGCTCCTTTTCGGATCCTGGCGTGCTGGATCCTTTCGGTTTGGGTTTTGGATTCTTTTCCCAAATGACCTCTCCCCTGGGGCTCCAGGCCAGCTCGCCGGCAACCCGGAAGGACCCGGAAGGGATCGCAAGACCCTGTTGCAAAGGGTTTTCCTGCTCCAGACGGCTTCAAGATGGCCTCCAAGACGGCTACGATGGCCCTCAACTTCGCTCAAGATGGTCCAAGATGACCTCCAAGACGGCCCAAGAGGGCTTAAGATGCCTCCAAGTCCACCACAAGAAGCCTCCAGAGGGCCCAAAATGCCCCCAAGAGGCATCCAAGACGGCCCAAGAGAGTCCAAGATGCCGCCACGTCCGCCCAAGAAACCTCCAAGACGGCCCTAGACGGCCCAAGAGGTGCCCAAGAGGCCTCCAAGACGGCCCAAGAGGCCTCCAAGAGGGCCTCCAGGAAGGCCCGAAGAGGCCAAAATCACTGATACGGCCCGAGACGGCCCAAGAGTCCCCGAGGATCGCCCAAGACGTCTCTTGGACGGCCCCAGAACGACCCAAGAGGCCCCCAAGACCGCCACAGAAGGGCCCGAAGACGGCCCAAGAGGCTTCCAAGATGCCCAAGATGGCTTCCAAGACGGCCCTGAAGCGCCCTAAGAGGCGGCCCAAGACGACCCAAGAGGCCCTCCAGGATGGCCCGAAAATGCCAAACTCATGGATTTTCTTTCGGTTGTTGAAGGATGCATTTGCTTCTGTTCCGACGGCCCGAGACAGCCCAAGAGCCCCGAAAGATCGCCCAAGAGGCCTCAGGACAGCCCCAGACCGGCCCAAGAGGCCCCCAAGACGGTCCCAAGAGGGCCACCAGACGGTCCAAAAGGCCTCCTAGACGCCCAAGCTGGCCTCCAAGACGACCCTGGAGCACGCCAAGAGGGTTTCAAGTCGGCCCAGAGAGGCCCCCAAAACAGCTTCTGACAGCATCGGACATGCCGACATGTCAGGAATGCCCCAAGACGGCCCCCTAAGATGCCTCCAAGCGGCTCCCAGGAAGCTCCCAGGAGGCCCCAAGAGTGCCCCCAGAGGCTCCCAAGATCTCCTCCTCCTCCTCCTCCTCCTCCTCCTCCTCCTCCTCCTGCTCTCCTCCTCTTCTCCTCCTCTCCTCCTCCTCCTCCTCCTCCTCCTCCTCCTCCTGCTTCTCCTCCTCCTCACCCTCTCCTTCTTCTCCTCCTCCTCCTCCTTCTCCTCCTCCTCCTCCTCCTTATCCTCCTCCTCATCCCCCTCGTCCCTCCTCTTCATCCGTCCCTTCTCCTCCTCATCTGGCCCTCCTCCTCATCTCCTCCTCCTCCTCCTTCTGCTCCTCCTTCTCCACCTCCTCCTCCTTCTCCTTCTTTGATCTTCCCCGCCATCCTCCCCCAAGTGTTCCCCGCAGGGTTTCCACAAAGGTTGGGGGAACACATGGTCTCGTGGGTTGGCAGAGCTCTGGCCACACCGCTCGGACACATGGGCGATTTGAAACCTCTTGCTCCCCCACGCGTTCCCGAAGGCATTCCAAACTGACTCGGGGAATAACTGGCCCGATAGCTTGGCCAAGCTCTAGCCCAGCTGTCGGCCACATCAGCGCTTCCACAAGGACAGGGGGCGGCGGTGATTCTCTGGATGCGTCTTCGATAACAGGTGTTATGACTTTTCGCCACCCTGAGTTGCGCGGGCGTTCGAAGTATTGCAGGATGGCGATGGGAAAAAACACGTATCCACACGGGGGGGTCCTCGTCCCCAGACCGCTCACCAGCGGCGAGCATATCCATATCCACGCCTCGCAGTCTGGACTCTGGGACGCGATACCCTGGATACGATCGCATTTTTATTCGCAGCCATAACGGGCGTTATGGGGGAGGGGGGTGGACGGGAGGGGACATAACGTAGCGTCCGGGGGGGGGAGGGGAGGGGAGGGGGCATGACGCGCGCTATGGCCCAGAGGGTAAGCAAAAACACGATCTACGCGGTCGCATGGCTACGCTCCTCGCAAGGATCCTGCGACACACGCGCCGTAACGGGGATCCTCTGACCCGGGTCAATCCAGAGCCAGGTAAGGCAGGGCTTGCAGAATGCTGCGAGATCCTGCAAGATCCTGCAAGATCCTGCACCCAAACCCGGGTCAATGCGAAGGATCCTGCAAGATCCTGCAGGATCTTGCACCCAAGCCCGGGTCAACGCGACCCTGCCCCTGCAGGATCCTGCAAGATCGGGCGCTCTGGCTGACCCCCGTTTGCATTTGCACCCCCGTCTCAAGGCCGCTGCCTGGGGGCCCGCCCCGCCAAGCAAGGGGAGGAGAGTTAGGGGGCCACATGCGAACCCTACCCCTACCCCACACGACTTCTGAGGGGGAGGGTGGGGTTCACTTCGCTCGAGAGCTCCCGAACGAAGTGAACCCCACCCTCCCCCTCAGAAATCGTGGGGGGTAGGGGTAGGGTTCGCATGTGGCCCCCTAAGATTGGCGTCACAGCCACCGTCGGGAGCACACGCCGACGTGAACTGCGGAACCGCGGAGCCAGCGCCCGGGCGCCAGCGTTTTGTAAGTCGGGCATGCCCTTCTCGACAGTCGCAGTGCGGAAGGAACATCGCACATCATCCGTCAACGGTGGTCCGAAGAGCGCGAGAGATCGTTCCCAGATCATCCTTTCTCACCATTCTCGAACTAGTCCTCCTGCAGAGGGACCTGCCCGACGGAACGCCAGAGCCACGGAGCGGGGAGAGAACATGCCCCCCGAAGCAGGAAGCCACTGCCGCCCGACTTGGGCGACGGGTCGCGCCAGCGTTTGCATGGAGACGGGATGCGTCGCGAATCCGCGCGTCTGGCTCCAGGTTTGCGCTGTCGCGACCGGGGGGAGGCGAAGACGAAACAGATCAGGTAGTTGTCTGCCGCTGGAGAAATGCGGGGGACACACACCCAACAATCTCCACGACGACGGTGACGACGCCCCCGAAGAAAGGAAGGACAGAGAAGGCCTCTGACCCTTGTAGGCAGGCTCTGGAAGCATACCAGCATCCGACACTCAAAACGAACATAGCTTTAGGTCGGGCGTGTCCCCCTACAGGCGGATTTTGGACGAAACAAGAACAATAATCACCAAATACTTCAAATCGTCAAAAAAAAACAATAAATCGCACCCATACATTTTTTAACTTTTTTTGAATTGCAGAGGGACGCGCCCGACTTAAACAGAGCTTCGACCACGGACAGGTCTGCGAGGCCGCACCCTGGTAAACAATACCTCAGCCACGACATGGGTGTAGTCCAAGGGGGGCGGGTACGTGTAGCTGGCCGCACGGGGAGCACAACCACCAGTTAGTTTTAGGTTGGGCATGTCCTCCTACAGGGGGATGTTGGACAAAAATAAAAGATGTTCAAACATACTCTAGAATGGTCAAGAATAGTCGGAAAATGGTCCCAACACAATGTTTGGACTATTTTTGCATTTTAGGGGCATGCCCGATTTAGCATTAGTTCACTTCGTCCAGCAGTTGACCCTGACCCTGCGACTGCGTCATATCAACAGAAACAGCATGAGCCTAAACTTTCGGAGCTCCGCGCGGAATCTACGCTGGACCCCTTTCCCTGGCGCGAGGAGCTAGCCAGGGACGGCGCCGAGGGCGCCGCTGGGGGCGTGGCCGGGGGGGTCCAGCGCGGATTCCAGACATCCGCGCGAGGCTCCGGATGCTCATGTTGATGCACTTCTTACAGTAGGGGCTCGACCACAAGAAACGTTCCACAAAAAACCCAACCCTGAGACCCCAGGACGTCCACTCATTATTTGTGTGGGAACGTCACGCTTTCCATAGCAAAACCATCGAAGCCCAAGAAACCCAGGTGAGCGTTGTCTTATTCGGCGTCTCGACATGGCGCGGAAGAGGCGGGGCGGCGGGGGGGGAACGTCTGGCTCCAGACCTCTGCTTAGCGCGACTGCTCGCAGCCGTGCGTACACTGTGGGGGGAGACTCCACCTGCTCCAAAGAGGTGCCAAACACACAGCCAAGATCTGCTCCATGGGGGGGAAGGGGGGGGGGGGCAAGGGCCTGCGCCGATCGGCAACACAACGGATGAGAAAACGATCACCAGGCCACACCGGAGGCAGGCAGGGCGTAATTCTTGGCGTGGGTCTCCACCCTTGCCATCGCTCTCGGACGTCCGTTCCCCGTGCGTGCTTCGGCTTCGCGCGTGCTTCCTTGGCCAGCTGGTCCAGGACGCTCCTCGAAGACCCTCGCTGGACAAAAAAAAAACAAAAAAAAAATGCACACGTCCGAGCGATGCCAAGCCACTGTGTTTGGTTCGAGTGTCTCCACCACCCTGGCCTCCAGGAGAGGAGGGGGGGGGAAAGACGCCGTGACGGCCGGCGAAGCCCCCGCGCATACCTCGCGAGCGAGAGGTCCGAGGGCTGCTCGGCAGTCCTCGCGAGGGGCACCAGCAAGACGCCGTCGTCGACGTCGTCGACGCCGTCGTAGTCGTCGCCGTCGAGGTTGATGTCGGCGTCGTCGTCCTCCTTCAACTCCTCCTCCCGCCACTCGAACGCAGAAGAATCTAAGATCGAGGTCGCACTCGAGCGCAAGTGGGGTTGCCACACCTTGCGATGTGTGTACCAAGGCCCCCCAGGAAACCTCAGGAGGCCCGACTTGGATACCAGAAGAGGCTCCAGGAGGCCCCGGGATTGTGAGTGTTGTGTGTGATGTGTGTGATGTGTGCTCTGTGTTGTGCGTGTTTTCTGTGCGTTGTAGGTGTTGTGTGTGTTATGTTTGTCTAGCGTGTGATGTGTTCGGTGTGATTTGTGTCTCTGTGTGTGCATGTAGTTCTGAGGCCCCAGGAGGCCCCAGGAGGCCCCAGGCGGCCTCAGGAGGCCCCAGAAGACCCCATGAGGCTCCAGGAGGTCCCAAGAGGCTCCAGGAGGCCGCAGGAGGCCCCAAGAGGTTCCAGGAGACCCCCAGGAGGCTCCGAGGCGGGGTCTGGGGTACCAGAAGGTACAGAAAGCCCCAGGAGGCCCCAGGAGGTTCCAGGAGGCTCCCAAGAGGCTCCGAGGCGGGGTCTGGGGTACCAGAAGGTACGTCGGGGCTCGGTTTTGGGAGGATGTCTCAGGCGAAATCGCCATTCTCTGAGAATCGGGGTCAAAATCATTGAAATTACAATGTGCTTTTGAAGGTTGTATTTTAGAATGTTGGAATTCCCATGTGTTTTTGGACCCTGACGTCACGATCTGCGTGAAGGGTGCCACCGATTTTCAGAATTTCGAGGATGTCCCTAGCGAAACGGCCAGAAACATCGCGAACGCCGCCTTCAATGAATCGGCTCTGAGCTCTACTCCCTCGGAGAGGCGCGTATGATAATATATGTATATATATATATATATATGTATATATATATATATATATATACATATATGTCTGCCCGAGGCGCAACACCGAGAGCTGATTTTCTGTGCTGCTGGGACCGACCGCCCGAGGTTTCCAGGATCCCTGCCCTCGCGCCACGCCCGAGCAGCAACAAAAGGCCGCGGCCCCGTCGTCGTGCTCGAGAGAGCGGAGACACCCCAGGCGAGGAAGTCAAGTCGCCTCGCATTCGACAACCTGGCTGGACCCAGGCGTTGTTTTCCCCCCCTCATCTCCCCCCCCTCGAACCTCGAACTTCCTTATCTCTCCCCCCTCCTCCTCCTCCTGCTCCTCCTCCTCCTCCTCCTCCTCCTCCTCCTCCTCCTGCTCCTCGTCCTCGTCCTCCTCCTCCTCCGCGGTCATCGGTTATCGACCATCGAACCTCGGGAACCTGCGTCGAATAAGGTGGCTCTGAGGGGCTACTGTCGTCCAGAGATCTCTCCGAAGCGGCGCCGACGGGGGGGGGAACCGGAGACGGGCGCCGCGAGATACAGCTCCGACGTGCCGTGAGGAGCGAGAGACGGTCAGATCTTGTCATTAGGATCACCAACAGGATAATGTGAGCGTTCTCTTATTCGTCGTTTCGACGTTGGGCGGAATGGGGTGAGGGGGGTCTGGCTTCGGACCTCTGCTTAGTGCGACTGTTCGGAAGAGTGCTCCCGTGGGGAATCATATGAGGCGGGGACCCGGTGCTTACTCCACCTGCTCAAAACAGGCGCCAAAAACAGTCAAGATCTACTCCATGGGGGGGAGGGGGTGCGAGGGCCCGCGCCGATCGGCAACAACATAAATAAAAAAAGATCGCCATCTAGAGGATCGCCATCATCCCATCCCTCCTCCCCCCCTGCATCACCGCCATCACCATCACCACTATCACCACCACCATCCTTGCACCATCACCACCATCACCACCACCATCCATCACCATCATCATCATCATCATCACCACCATCACCACCACCATCACCATCATCGTCCCTCCTCCCCCCCCCTCTCCTCGGCGTAAGCCCCTCTCCTCTCCTGATCCTGATCCTGATCCTGATCCTGATCCTGATCCTGATCCTGATCTCTCCTCGGCGTAAGCCCCTGATCCTGATCCTGATCCCGCCCCTCTCTTCTCCTCTCCTCGGCGGCGGCGGCCACGCCGGGGAGAGGCGTCCTCCCGTCCGACGGCCGCTCGGCCATCTATAGGTGAATTCAGGCGCTGCGCCGGGGGGCGCGGGCTGGAGGGCCCGTCCCGAGCAGCCGGCCCGCAGCCCAGGCCCCTGAGAAAGAACAATCAACCACGCCATCTGCAAATCTCCTCCTCCTCCCTCCCTCCCTCCCTGCCTGCCTCTCCCCCTCCCCCCATTCACATCCCCCCCTCCCTCCCTCCATCTCCTCCTCCTCTTCCCTCTCCTCGCCCTCGCAGGGGCAGTGAGGTTTTACTCTGACTTGGGACCCGCCCCCTACGCGGCTATACCTTCTTACCTCCTCCCGCCCCCTCCTCCCTCCTCCCTTCCCCCCTCTCATCCTCTCTCCCCCCGCCTCCCTCCTCCCTCCGAAACCCCCTCCTCCTCCCGCCTCCATCCTCCCTCCCCCCGCCTCCCTCCACAATTGCACTATATGAATACTACTCTCCTCTCTCCCCTGATGGCGTCCTGAGGATGTTCGGCCCCCCGCCGCGTACTGTCTTCCTGCACACAGGATTCCCGGGAGTAGTGTTTTCGCTTGGGCTTGTTTTCAAAATGCTGCTCCAGCCGAAAAACTGGCCTCATTTTCAGGCTTCTGCTCGTTCCGAATGGTGCTCCCACTGCAGCGCATGCCTCATTTCCGCGTTCCCGCTCATTCCGAATCGCGCTCCCGCTGCAACACTGGCCTCATTTCCGCGCTTATGCTCGTTCAGAAACGTGCTCCCGCTGCAAAGCTGGCGTCATTAGTTCCAGTGCCATGCCACGGTATGCAATGCAATGTTATGTGGCGTTCCGCTGTGCGATGCCATGCCTTCTTCAGCTGCAATGCTCGGATATGCTACGCAGTGCCACGCCATGCTATACCATGCTACGCTTTTAAAATACTCAATGCCATGGCATGCAATGTTTTGTTATGTGTCGCCGTGCGATGCCATTATTTGCGTTGCAATGCTGTGTGATGCAACGCAACGCCACGCCATGCGATGGCATACGAATTACGCCCCGCCGTGCTCTTCTACGCCCTGCTATTCCGTGCTCCACGATGCATCGCGCACCCTCTCGGGATCATTGCCCTGCTCGACATCCGACTGTACATATAGAGAGGAGGTCTACGACATGGTGAGGGAGGGGTAGGACGTCAGATATGACGCGAGCGCACATAGCTTGTCCCTCCCCCCTCTCCCCCCCACACCCTCCTCCCTCCCAACCCCATCCTCCCCCCACCTCCCTCCTCCCTCCCCCCGCCTCCCTCCTCCCTCTCCCCGCCGCCCTCCTCCCCACGCCCCGCCACCTCCCTCCGCCGCCCTCCTCACTCCCCGCCCCCCTCCTCCCTCCCAGACTCCCTCCTTCCCGCCTCGCCCTCGAGACTTCCCGTGTCTCGGCGCGAAAGCGTGGGGCCCTCGCGGGGGACGGGGCCCTCCGGGCTGGTATGTAGGGGAGAGAGGAGCGAGACCCCCGGCGGCGGGCGCGCGCGGCAACCAAAAAAAAAACTGAAGGCGGGGGCGCGGCCGCGGAGAAGGCGCTGAGCAAGGATCGACCTAATCGGTGTTTGAAGGGGCCCAGGAACACACAAGTAAATACACACACAGGCCCCAGGACTCCCAATGTTTCCATATTTTCTGGGTTTTCGTCCTCCCCCCCACTTCCCATAGTTTCCCATACCCTCCTGGGAGTCGACGATGAATTGAGTCAGTGTGTTGTCTCCCCTCCTGAGTGTTGTTCGTTTTCGTTTTGACTTTCGCTGTTCTCCCGTGCTGCAAAAAGAGGGCGGAACGAAAACGGCACACCGTTTCGGTCGACCCCTGCTGCGGCGGGGCCGCGGTGCGGGCAGCGGCTGCCAGGCGGGCCCGAGCTGGAGGGAAGGGCAACATCGGAAGCGGACCGGAAGCGCATCGGATCGTCGAGAGATCGTACCAGATCGCCTGGAGCACGGATCGCCGCGAACGGCTCGAGCTGCCCCGGCCGACTCCAGTGAGCCGACACGAATCGACTCGAAATCGCGTCCCCTGCCGGCGAATCGAATCGCACCGAATTGGAACCAAGGCGGCCCTGCCAGGTCGTCGTCGTCGTCGTCGTCGTCGTCGTCGTCGTCGTCGTCGTCGTCGTCGTCGTCGTCGTCGTCGTCGTCGTCGTCGTCGTCGTCGTCGTCTTCGTCGTCGTCGTCGTAGTCGCGACGGCCATGGCGACGGCAACGACGCGAGCACACATGCATAATCTGTTGCATGTACATCGTCCTGGCCAGTCGTTCACCCCGCATCGATCTCCGCCCGACGGCCCTGGACCCTGGCGGCGGGCCTCCCTGAATATCCCCTCTTCGCTCCTGGCCTCTGACAGCCCCCAGAAGCGCCCACCGGAAGAATCAGTGTTCCGCCTCCCCTGAGATCCGACGCCGCGAAAAAAACCGCAGAACATCGCAGAACATGGGGACCAGAGCCTCAGGCCCCACCTTCCTGCGTCCTCTGGCGAGCCGGATCGATCTGTGAGGCCCCCGCGGCCCGACACCGAGCGATACCGCCCGTGGTGCGAAAGTGGCAACGAACGGATCTCGAGGGGCCCCCCCCGAGGGGGGCCCCTCCCGAGGCCCCCCTCGAGGCCCCCCTCGAGGCCCCCCTCGAGGCTCCCTCGAGGCCCCCCTCAAGGCTCCCTCGGGCCTCCCCTCGAGGCTCCCTCGGGCCTCCCCTCGAGGGCCCCTCGGGTCCAGACACGACTGTCGGGCGAGCGCCGAGCCCCTTCGGCGCCCGACGGAGCGATCCCCACCCGAGAGCGCGAGGCGGAACACCGGAGGAGGAGGAGGAGGAGGAGGAGGAGGAGGAGGAGAGGTAGGAGGAGGAGGAGGAGGAGGAGGAGGAGGAGGGGATGGAAGAGGAGGCGGAGGAGGAGGAGGGATGGAGAGGAGGCGGAGGAGGAGGCGGAGGTACAGGGGAGATGGAGGAGGGAGGGGAGGAGGAGGAGGAGGAGGAGGAGGAGGAGGAGGGGGGAGGAGGAGGAGGAGGAGGAGGAGAGGAGGGGAGGAGGAGGAGGAGGAGGAGGAGGAGGAGGAGGAGGAGGAGGGGGAGAGGAGGAGGAGGAGGAGGAGGAGGAGGAGGAGGAGGAGGGGGAGGAGCTGGGGGGCCTTACGGTCAAGGCATGCGGCCGTCGGGAGTACTGGGGCCCCTGGGCCCTGGCGGCCACGGCAGACAGGGTGGGCCCGGCGCGTCGGGGGGGCCCTTGTTTTAGGTCCTCGTATAGGCGGATTTTGGACGAAAATCAAAAATAGTCAAACATATTCAAGACATGCCTAAAAACACATACCAAATCGTCCCAGGCTATTTTTTGACTATTTTGGAGTATTCCTCCTGTAGAGGAACACGCCCGACTTAATCCTTGTTCCCAGACGCGCGAGGTCTCGATCTTTTCCCGTCGGGGGCGTCCGAGGAGGGGGGCGTCCAAGAGGAGGGGGGGCGCAACTCATGGCCAGCAGCACGTGCGCGGAGCAGGGCGGAGACCAGGGGGACGCATTGAACTCAGAAGAGGCGCGCTGGAATCTGGGGAGACATTATGGCCCCCGCCATGACATCCATCCCCCCAGGTCACCCCACCCCTCTTGGCCGTTCCCGATTTGTACGGGGCACCCATCAATTCCGACCCTTCCCCCAGGGCCGGAAATTCTTCCTGGATCGTTTTGTTGACAGCCCTGTGGGCCAGCCGGTCAACGGGTCACGCTTGGCGGAACGAGCCCAACAAATTCCCGTCGTGATGCTGGTGCAACGAGAGGAAGGGAAAAGGAGGAGGAGGAGGAGGAGGCAGTGGAGAGGGAGGAGGAGGAAGAGGAGGAGGAGGAGGAGGAGGAGGAGGAGGAGGAGGAGGAGGAGGAGGAGAAGAAGGCGAAGGAGGAGAAAGAGGAGGGAGGAGGAAGGGAGGAGGAGGAGGAGGAGGAGGAGGAGGAGATGGGGGAGGAGGAGGCGGAGGAGGATGAGAAAGAGGAGGTGGGGGTATGCATGGTGGGCGGAGCAGGTCGGCAAATCTTTATTTGAAGTCTGACAGCTCCAACCTGCTGGGTGGCAAGGACACCGCTCACACGACGGCCTCCGGGGCCTTCCCAGAACCCCCTCCCGCCTGCTTAGAATGACCCTGCCTCCTGAAGCCCCCCCCTGCCTTCGTAGAAGGCAGCCCCCCTCGTGTCACCCCCTTCTGCGCGCCGCCAACCACTGGAATCATAAAAGCAGCATGCACCAACAAGCAAGAAGGCAGCGCCAGCACACTCGCGCGCGGCGCCGCGCCGCTGCCTTGGCCACGCGCCGCAGGCGCCCACGGCAGTCGCGGCCGGAGCCCTCGTTGCGGTGAGGGGGCTCCTCCTCCTCCTCCTCCTCCTCCTCCTCCTCCTCCTCCTCCTCCTCCTCCTCCTCCTCCTCTTCCTCCTCCTTATCCAACAACAGGTGGGGCCAAACCTTCTCAGCGACGGTTTCGGTATCCCCATCAGGGCTACAACTAATGAGACAGCCCTTGTCGCTGAGGATAGGCATGGGGGTAGATGATAGCTGCTTTCGTCGTCCCATGCGGCCATTCACACGGATGGGAGGATCAGGCCACTCGAATCCTACTCGAAACCTCCTCCTCCTCTCCTTCTTCCTCCTCCTCCTCTTCCTCCTCCTCCTCCCCTCTTCCCCCCTCCTCCTCTCTCCTCCTCCTCCTCCTCCTCCTCCTCCTCCTCCTCCTCCTCCTCCTTACCCCCCTCCCTGCTCCGTGTTCTCTTACCGTGATGTTAGTCATCCTCCCCCCCTGTTGCTCACGGCGCGCGCGCGGGCGGGGACGCGTGTCGCGACGGGGGGCGCGAAGGGTTCGATTTCCAAGAGGAGCGCATTCGCCCGAGGGCTTCTGCGCATCATTCAATCGCACCCCATCCGCACTGGCATGGCTTTGGATCCACTGCCCGACATACCACCCCAGGCGGGAATCTGGGTTCTTCCCTGTGGGTCTCGCGGGACCTACCCCCACCCAGGCGGGGCGGGCGCTGGCGGGGTCGAGATGCCATGGCCAAATGTGGCTGGGGATCGGTTAGGCGATGCTGAGGGGGGGCGTGTCGCGACTGGCGTGCAGGGATCGACTTCCGAGAGGAGCGCATCCGAACGACAATTTCGAGGGCGGCCCGCAACGAGGATGGAAGAGCATTCGGGGGCGTCAAAGAGGGGGCCTCGCAAATCGTGGCCCGAAGCACGTGCAGGTGGGGGACCAGCGGACGCACTGGAATCCGCCGACCCCTTGGAGTCTACGGCGTGTGAGATGTTCGCCTTGGCGGCGCGCAAAGAGGGGCAAAGAGGGGCAGGGGGAGGGGGGAGAGCTTCTTAGAAGGGGGCTGCTCTTCAGATGGTGCCGGCCTTACATGTACAGAGAAGGCCCGCGCCTTCTAAGAAGCAGGGGTGTTTCTGAGAAGCATTCCCCGCTCCCACTATCCCCCTCTGCACGTGGCCGATTGCTACTCCCCAAACCCTTTCCCCCAGGAGCTCCGTCCGCACCCAGGAGAAGAAGGAAGGCCAAGACGAGGGAGGAAAAGAGGGATGAAGGAGGTAGATAGAGTGGGGACGCGGCCTCAAGAACCCCCCGCAAGAATACCAGACCCTGAAAATCCAAATCGTCTCTTTCCCAAAGTCTGGGTTTCTTAGCCGAGGGCTCCAAGCGGAGAAACCCAGGGTGCCCTGGCCCAAGAGGCTTCTTCCCCGGGGCGTGATAAGGAGATGTGCGAGGTGCGATTTGGGGGGGAACCAATTTTATCCCGAAAGCAACAATTCTTTACCGTCAACCAGTATAGTAAGGATGCACGATGAGGATGCAAGGGCCTCGGACGCCCTTTTCAAAGCTCTTCGAGCGGGGCACGGCCAGCGAAAGTGGCGAAGGATGGACCGAGGAGGCAAGGATGCGAGGGTACCCTTGGAAAGGTTGCCGAGGAGGAGGAGGAGGAGGAGGAGGAGGAGGAGGAGGAGGAGGAGAAAGAGGAGGAGGAGAAGGACGAGGAGGAGGAGGAGGAGGGGGAGGGGGAGGAGGACGAGGACGATGAGGAGGAGGAAAACAACGATGAGGATGAGGCAGGCTCATCCTCCTACTGGGCCGAGGGAGGAGGAGGAGGAGGAGGAAGAGGGGGAGGGAGGAGGAAAAAGAGGAGGAGGACCAGTGTAGATCCAGGAGTCATCAACGATGCTGGAGTCAACCCTCCCTCCAAGCTCCCTCTTCGTAGGCCCCTACAACGGTTCATTTCCGTTGAGGGAGCTGCCTCGCTGGAAGACAACCGTTTGAAAACCCTGAAGCATGCCAAAACATTGTTCTCGGGATTTCAACGCCACGCATCAACCTGACTGCTCCGTTTGACGATCCGGAATCGTGCCATAACGCCATGTTTGGGATTTCAACAAAACGAATGAACATAACTACTGCACCCGCATAATCCTGAATCCTTCCAAAATGCCATTTCTGGTATGTTGATCATGGGAATCCGTGAACTCTTGCAAATGTTGAATACGAATGTGCGCGGCGCTAAAGCGAGAACCACATTTTGGAAAGGAACCGCCCTCAATCCGTGAAACTCATGCGAA